CCAAACTAGACTGGACTGGACAGGCTGGCAGGGATCAGGACTGGATCAGACACACAACAAAGTGACATTGTATGTCATTGTATATCACCTTGTTGCCATACCGTCACCATACCGTGCCAACAGCACAATTATTTAAACTGACACACAGAGAGCAAAACTTTTCTCATGTCTCCAAAAGTCTGAGCCACTGTGTTGCCCTTATATAAATGATATCTCTATATATATATATATATATATATATATATATATATATATATATATATATATATATATATATATATATAATATTCTAAAAAGGGACAAAGCCGACAAGAAAATGAATGAATGAATGAATGATATCATATAATATATAAAACATATCAAAACATACCTGAGCAGGTTTGCGGGTGTGTTTTCTGGAATCCGGGTCTGCAGGAGCAGAACGAGTCACTTCCATTCACCACACAGTGACCTTCATCTCCACACATACTGCGATTCAATCTGCATTCATTCAGACCCGAATCTGTACACACACACACACACACAGAGTCAGAATGGGCACTACAGCGGTCCTGTTAATGCTTTTACAAAGCAAAACGATTCTTGTACGTTCCCAGCAGGGGTGCTGGCTAGACATAAAGGCTATAGCGTCAATGCTTCCCATTCACTTTGAATGGTGACGTCAGGCATGCCGAACTGCATTGTGGATCAGTCGGCACCGCTTCAGAGGCGTTGCTCTCTGCAGAAGTTGGGACTAGCTCAACTTTTCAAGAGCCGACGGAAGCATCAGCCAATCAGATCGCTGTATGCAAATACACCAGCTAGACAGTGGACTATTGCTGACTGAATTTCATTGGCTGATGCTTCTATGATGATCGCTTCAGCCCCAACTTCAGACACGCCTTCAGACAAGCGTTAACCGTGTTGAAGTCGTGGGTTACGGAAAAAACATGTGAATTTTAATAGTTTATTAAAATGAATTTAATTTTTGGAAAGCACCAAGCGACCCCCCCACCCCCTTCAATATCCCACAAACCCCCGAGGGGTCCCGACCCCCACTGTGAGAACCACTGCTTTAGAGGGGACCAAACCTTAATTAGGGTGGTCAATCCGCCCCAAACCCCCCCGTAATTCACACCATGGGGATCAACCCATTGTAATGTTTTTCAGTTAATATTAAATTACTGAAAGAGCTGCAGGTTATTTTTATTATTTTTATAGGTTTGAAAAGTAACTTCAAGGTAAAGTAATTAGTAATCTGATTACTTTCTACATTAAGTAATTAGTAATATAATCAGATTACAATTTCCCAGTAGTAGTAGTAGTCAGTAATTTACAATCTATTACTTTGTTAAAGTAACTTACTCAACACTGGTTACTAGTAACGCATACATTTATGGTAACTAATCATGTGCATTTTTTGTAAAGCCGCTTTGACAGTATTATTGTGAAAGCACAATATTTAAATCAACTTGAATTGAAATCTGGAAAACACATGTAATTATTAGCGATTGAGACCCAGCGCTACTGAAATAGAGAGTAACTCCTGCTGCAGATCTAATTCATGCTACATTTCCAGCTGAAGGAGGTGTAAAAGTGTAATAACGGCCGTTAGATAAATGACGCATAAAATAACAGACGACAGACCTTTCTTGTTGCAGTTGATCTCGTCCGAGCCGTAATCTTCGCAGTCATTGAAGAAGTTACAGCGCAGGTTTAAGCTGATACACTTCCCCGAGCTGCAGGTGAACTCACTCTTTCCACAGACGGCAGGGGGTGGAGTTTCTGACACATAACACACACACACACAGTTTCACGTCAACACACAATCAATCAACAGCTCAATACCAATATGTCACATTACTGGATAGGTATAACTTTACCAGTCTTTAAAAAAAATTTATTAATTAATTTCACATCACGTCCCATGTTTCATGTCACATATAAATATATATATACACACACACACAAGGCTTTACATTAACTTTTTTGATCACCAGCCACTGTGGCTAGTAGATTTCCAACATTACTGGCCACTTGCCATTTTCACTAGCCACAATTTTGTTGTTTGGAAAATATATTTTATATAAATAAATGCGACTTTGACATGCTAAAATGACTTGATTTAGATGTTGTGTTGTCCACATGCCTCCTCATTTATTTCACTGTTTGTGTGTGTTGTGTATGAGCTTGCTATATATATATATATACACACACACACACACACACACACACACACACACACACACACACACACACACACACACACACACACACACACACACACGTAGTCGCTGGGATAACTAGGTAAAAATAAATGCATATTATAAGACAATGAACATGTTTTTTGCCCTTGCACGGTAGCAACTACAAGAAAAATACTGGCAAAACTGTAACTACACAGTGATCTCTATGGTGTGAAACATATGTGAAGCTCATGACGCTTATAGTGTTGCACGTTTGGTTTAACGGCGTATACAAATAAAACATGCAATAAAAATCATATGATTTCACAATAATGCTGTTGTTACTCACGGCAGTTCTGCTCATCGCTGTTGTCTCCGCAGTTATTGACGCCGTCGCAGTGTTTGGACAGCGGCAAACACACACGATCATTGTGACATCTGAACTGTCTGGATGGAGGACACTGGAACTGCTCTGAAACAAACATACACAACATTTCAAAACAAGCATTAGTACAAGGGGATGCACAGCCGAAGTCAGGATTATTAGCCCTCCTGCATATTTCATTTCTTAATTTCTGTTTAACAGAGCAGATTTTGTTTAACACATTTCTAAACATAATAGTGTTAATAACTCATCTCTAATAACTGATTTATTTTCTCTTTGTCATGATGACGACACATAATATTAGACTAGATATTCTTCAAGACACTAGTATTCAGCTATGAGTGACATTTAAGGGCTAAACTAGGGTAATTAGGGTAAAGTTAGGGTAATTAGGCAAGTCATTGTATAACTGTGGTTTGTTTTGGAGACAATCCAACACTAATATTGCTTAAGGGGGATAATAATATTGACCTTAAAATGCTTTAAAAAAATTAAGAACTGCTTTTATTCCAGCCGAAATAAAACAAATAAGACTTTATCCAGTAGAAAAAAATATTGTAGGAAATACTGTGAGAAATTCCTGAATCTGTTCAACATCATTTGGGAAATAATTGAAAGGATTTAGAGAAGGGTGAATAATTCTGACTTCAGCTGTAATACTGGATATAAACCTCTATCTCTGCTTGAATTGTCCTCGAACACGAGTATCTGCTGTTGTGAGAGTGTCTGAATGAACAGATGAATGAACTCACTGCAGACGTCTGGGTTTTCGTCTGAATTGTCTCCGCAATCGTCTTCACCATCACACTTCCAGCCCAGCGGCTTACAGAGAGTGTTATTACACTGAAACTCATCCAGAGGGCAGAACTGACCCACTGCAACACACACACACACACACACACACACACACACACACACACACACACACACACACACACACACACACACACACACACACACACACACACACGCAGAGTTACCATCTGTATTCACTACACCCAACCACACAGCAATTACAGTGAGCGTGTGTCTATGTGTGTTTGTGTGTTTGTGTGTGTGTGTGTGTGTGTGTGTGTGTGTGTGTGTGTGTGTGTGTGCAGGAGAGCATGCGGGTGAGGAGAGCATCAGTCAGCTCCTGAAGAAGGCTCACGACAGCAGGAAAACAGCAGAAAACGCTGCTA